AACAGAAAATACTGGGTTCAGGGTGTATGGAAACTCCTTGTACTATACAACTTTTCTGTAAACTAGAATTATTCTAAAATAAAATGTTTATTAAAAAATACTTAGCAGATATAGCTGAAAGAAAAGGCTCTTCTGATACAATGTTTGCAGAGGAAGATGTTTTTTAGTTTATAAATTATTTCCATAATTCGTGACAGTTCTCACATCTGCTACTATAAAATTCATTGCAGCTTCTCTGCCTCCTGGGAAAAAATGCATTTAATTATCAGTGAAATTCAGCTTTGGCTTGCTATGATGAATGATTTGAACCTGTCAGTTCCCCCCCCCCTAAAAAACAAAAGAACTGAAATGAAATACAGTCTTATTCCTCTACTCCCTTCCTTCCACCTGCTCCATTTAATTGATGAAGGTTTGAGCTTTTATTAATCTTTTTGAGCTCTTCTGTAAGATGCAGAAGAAAGCTAATATGATATCATTGTATCTAGCTAATGTGTGTGCTTTGTGAAATTGATACACCCTGCCAAGACATAAATTACTTAAGCTTTGATAAATGTGTTGAAATCAGGGAATGTTCAAACAGATAAAACATAGCAATTCCTCTTTCTTCCCCTTTTTAAAGCTCCATTTTGTGCTTGAGGTTAAGTGTTTTTGCATTGCTATTGTAATATGATGGGACAAAAGACAGCAATGATTCTGAAATTAGCATGAAGAGCCCCAGCAAGTATAAACGTAACCAGGGGGATACAGACAGCCATGTGTTTTATAGATAACATCTAACAATCTTGCCTTGGACAGAGTGGTTTGCCAACAGGTTCAGAACCACCTACAGTCTTCTCCCAGCATGTTGTATCACAGAAGTTATCTGTTCAGGAATGAGGGTACCTGCCAGACTCTTTATACACTCAGCTCACTTTGCTGACTCACGTGGTAGGTTGGAGTCAAAGATTCACAAACACATTTTGTTGGCAAGGAGAGCTCACCTGTGCCTGTGATCTGGCGGTGATTTGGATGCCAGTGAGACTGGGAACATAAGGAAATATTTGATGTTCTGGGGTTGAGAGGGTTGATTTCTACTTGGTCATTAATTTATCGCATAGCACTGAACAAGTTGCTCGATTAACCATTAATCAGTTTCCTGGAGGCTTGAGAATTCATATAATCCTTGGAGACACTTCTGGGTAGAAAGCATGAGACTATCCATTGGACTATGGAGGAGCTGTCAGTCATTGAATGCTTTTTGCCAAAGATTAGACTCAGTAATTTCCATCCATTCTTTCAGTTAGTCCTTACAGCCAACCAGCAAAGGAGCTACAGGTGAGAAAACTGGGGTTCAGGTCATATACTTAAGCAGGGAGTGATGATATCATCAGGTACCAAATGCTGAGCTCTTTCCGCCATATCATGCTGCTTCCCTATTGGGAGTATATCGATAGATGGGGGATGGGAGGCGGGGCAGGAGCGGCTCATCAGGCCCCAGTCTTCCCTGATTAGGTCTTCTGAGGTTAAGCATGAGCCTTGGGGACTTAGGTCATACAACCATCTATGTAGACCTGGTAGAGGAGAGGTTGCCCTCTCAGCAGTGATGTTATAAAGTGATGATTTATAACAAGAGGGAGGCTGAACAAGTTACACTAAAGGGAGAGAAAGTTGGGAGAGGAAATGCAACTGTCAGCTTATTAAAGACACAGAGAAATATATTTACCCTTTTAATTATACTCTTCTACCAGTACATCATTATCTGATAGCTTTTTGAGATTTGGGCTTAGATTTGGAAATCGGCACTGGTGAGAACAGTCCATGTACTTTAAAGCAATAAACAGATGATGTTGTACACAGTTTCCCAACTTGGTTAATGTTGTCAAAACATGTTAGAAATATCATGGTCTAAGGAAAGCAACGAAATTTTTTAAAATATAAAAATATATATGTTTTCATATATATTTATATATACAAATGTTATATATAAATATGTATCTGTACTTTTTGCCTAAGGTACTGCCAATGAGTATTGTCACTGGAAGAGAGAAACAGTATAGATCTGTACTATTAGCTAGATTTTATTGTTATTTATTATTTTTACATAGACCAATCTCAAAATCAAGGGCTCCTTGAGCAGGTTTAGACCTGAAGAGTAGTGTGTTATAATGAATTTTTTAGAACTCAAATTCCAATTTACATTCTCACGTGGAGAATCTTTTCTGAAGATTTAAAGGACCTTTGTAAAAGCAAATAATCACACCCAGTTTGTCTGTTTGAAAAGCTTAGATTTTTTTTTTTTTTTACACTCTTATTTCTTAGGTGAGTCACATATGTTTGAGTCAACTTCTGTTACAACATAAATTACTACCAGGAAAATCTTCGGATCTTTAAAAAGTCTCAGTAAATGGCCATTTATTATTATCATTGAGCAATCTCAGAACTATCACAACAGAAGTCCTAGAGATAAGAGAAGAACCTCCTAAGGTGTTGGTGTCTGTCATGTATTCTGAAATGCACCGTGATCAGCTAAGACGCGATATGATTGGAAAACTATATGATGGGCTCAATGTTTATAGGTTTTCAATAATGAAAAAGTGAGGAGAAAATTGGGCAAAGCGCTAAATCAAGGAAAATGATTCGGTTAGAAAAAAACTCAGGAAAATGTGTGACGTAAAACAAATACCTCAAGAAACAAAAAAGAGCATGTTGCTGCTGGTAGGAAAGGCTGTCTTTATGCTTGGGGTGGGAAAACATTTTTGCATGGAAAATGTATTTTAGTTCTGCCAATAAAAAAATTTATTGGTAGCATGGTTTATAAAAGTAAGAATCAAGATTTTTTTTAAAAAAAAGTCAAGTTTAAAGAGGAAAATGTCAGAAGGGATATACCTCATGAAAGAGAGAAAGGAAAGTGGGAGTGAGCTGTACTGGATCCGGCAGTAGAGGATCAGGAAAAGAAGGCGCATTTCTTTTGCACCAGATGTACAGCAAATGGCAGGTGTGTCTGTCAGCATTTGCCGAGCAAGGTGAACCTCATGAAATCCTGGAAACACGTGGAAACTAGGTAATAGACAGTGGGCAACAAGAATCATGATCCCAGAGAAGGGAAATTGCACCTCGATAAGCAAGAGGCTCCTTTTCTGCCGCTGTGTCCTTGGCCCTCCCTCTGGAGAGAGGCTGGGACATGTCCCTTGGACCACTCTGCCTCCACTCTCAGGAGACTGAAGTCAGAAGTGGAGGCAGGTACTGAACTCCATGGGCTGTGACCAGTTGATTAGAATAAAGCTTGTGTACCTTATAATTAAAAGTGTTCAAAATCAGAAAACTGTAGTTACAGTATCAGATATATTTTGAGCTAGAAATCCAGAGTAATGATCCCTCTCACCCTGGCGACTATGCCAACCGTTCAACACCAGGAGAGAGAAAGAAGTATCAATTCAGTCCCTAAGAAGAGGTAATATGGATTTAAGTTCTCAAAAAAGTAAGAATGTGCATCTTATCAATTTTCCCTTCTACTAACTTCAATAATTTAAGTGTAGAGAAAATAATTTTTAAAAACTCCAGAAATGAGGAAGAAAAGCCTTCAGGAAATTAATCATAGGAAGAAGTATATTATGTAACCTCCGCCAAAAAAAAAAAAAAAAAACCTTACTGACATTTTGAGTCCTTGGATTCCTACTCTAAAGTGATCTTGGATCTAGGTAATAAGGGAAAACGCTTTTCACAAAGCTCTCTTACGACTTAAATTTGTAAACATTTAAGAACATACAAAAGATAACTCCATGTTATCAAACTATACCATAGAGTTGAATGCAATATTTATAATTCAGATTATGTCTTTTTCTTTTTCACAATTGGATTAAAAGCAATAATTTTTGGAACAATCTGAGACTAGTTTCACCAAGTGCTTTGCCAAGTTTGAACGGTGGAGAAACAGTACATAAACATAGCCTCACTTCTGTCCTCATCCTTTTCATCATGCTGACAGTTTTCCGTAGAATCGTTACAGGAGTGGTTTGTGCCATTAGAGATAAGAGGCTATCTGTGTTCCCTCTAGAAACCTCTATTTTCCAGACTTTATAACTCATCCATAAATATTCACTCCAGGCAACAGTTTCATATATAACGATTCTGTCCCTCAACATCCATATTGACTTAACTAAATGATTTTTAGAAACCGTGGGAAGTCTCATACTATAAAAAGAATAAAAAGGAAAACCAAATGCAAATAAAAATCTTATGTTTCAGTGGCTTCGATTTGAACCAAAATACTGTGGAACCCATAAAACACATGCACATAACATTTTCTTAGCAATTCTATCTTTCAGGATATAATTCAGTTATAATAAAATTTATTAAATCGTATATAGTCTATTAATTAATGCAAAATGTACTTTTCCACATTATTTCTGTTTCTATAAAGGCAACTAAATTTGTACTTATATTTTTTCAACTAAAACTTTTTGTAGAACTTTCTACTACTAATCACATGCTTTTTTGTTATAGAGTTTGAGATGGAATTACATCAAAAGTTATGAAATTATGTTATGAGCCTTTGAATGTAGTAATACCCTTAATATTTCCAACTATATTTAAGAGAATTATTAATATCATAGTCAGATGATTTCTAGCTTCTTGGCAGAAACCGTCAGCATTCTAGAGTTGTCTTCTACCTGAAAGAAAAGACTTTAACAAATTTAATGGTTTTATCAATATACTATTTCTCCCAATCTGAAAAATAGAATTGTGAAGATTAGGAAAGAGCGACTAAAAACACATCAGACCATTAAAATGAAATATTTTGTTCTTAATCTCACCAGTTTAATTTTTATACTCGCAGTTTTGCATCATGTAAATTAAATACTCATCTTTTGTTACACTGTTGAGCTCAGCTGTGTGTGTGAAATGCTATTTAGCAAGAATCTAAATAATACTGAATGAATTTCCTTTGTGCTTTAACTTCGGTCTGTGTGCACGCTCAAAGCCTAGCCTAAAGTTTATTTCTCCTTCTTCTTTTCAAACAGCTATTCTGTGACAGCAAAGAAGTGGTGCATGCCACGGAGGGGCTGGATTGGGAAGACAAAGATGCTCCGGGGACTTTGGTGGGCAACGTGGTGCACTCAAGGATCATCAGTCCTCTGCGCCTGTTTGTTAAACAGTCTCCAGTGCCCAAGCCGGGTCCCATGGCATATGCAGACAGCATGGAAAACTTTTGGGATTGGCTGGCCAACATCACGGAGGTTCAGGAGCCACTGACAAGAACTAAACGGCGGCCAATCGTAAAAACAGGAAAATTTAAGAAAATGTTTGGATGGGGTGACTTTCATTCCAACATTAAAACTGTCAAACTCAACCTCCTCATCACAGGGAAAATTGTCGACCACGGAAATGGAACCTTCAGTGTTTATTTCCGACATAATTCGACGGGTCTGGGCAATGTTTCAGTGAGCTTGGTACCCCCCTCCAAGGTGGTGGAATTCGAAGTTTCCCCCCAGTCTACCTTGGAGACCAAGGAATCCAAATCTTTCAATTGTCGCATTGAGTATGAAAAAACAGATCGGGCAAAGAAGACTGCCCTGTGCAACTTTGACCCGTCCAAGATCTGCTACCAGGAGCAGACTCAAAGCCATGTGTCTTGGTTGTGCTCCAAGCCCTTCAAGGTCATTTGCATTTACATCGCCTTTTACAGTGTCGATTATAAACTTGTGCAAAAGGTCTGTCCTGACTACAACTACCATAGTGAGACCCTATACTTATCTTCTGGCTGATCTTTCCACAGTGACGGAAATGAGGGATGGAGACATATATATATATATATATATATTTAATTATAATGACCAAGAAACAGGCCCAGCTCTTCATGGTAAAGGATCCCTTTTGTTTCTGGCAGTGAACTGTAGTTCCCTATCAGGTTTTCAAATTTAAAAAGAGAAAAAAAAGAAAAAGAAACATCTTTAAATGTGAAACATGTTTGTTTTGATCATAAGTCCCTTTATCTAAAGAGTCAAACTATTTATGAAACCGTCCCTTTCATGTAAGGGGGTTAAGGTCTAGAAATATTACTGTTGCTCTAGAAGAAACATCAGTGGTAGCCAAGTGTGACAAGAAGGAACTGGAGTATGCATGTGGTAGACATTGCTCTTGAAATGAGCCTGCCTTTGAAATATGTTTTGGAAGATTACCTTAAAAATAGCAGATCCAATAAAGGAACTGAGAGGATTGTATTTGATAGATGAATTGTTTCTGACATTGGAGTCTTTTTTTTATTACTGTCTTTTTCCCCACATCTGTGTTGTTATTGATATGAGAGATGAAAGGGTAAAATTTGTTTCAAAACTTGTGTGTGAAGTTTCAGTGTCACCATGGAACCGAGCACATTACCATCTGAGCTAGACTTGAGTGGAATGTGATTTAAGTGCTTAGCCCTGTGTTGGCCACCATCTTTATAACTCCCATCTGAGTCATAGTGCTGGTGCATTGGAAAAACAAATCTGTGTATACGTCAGTTTAACAACAATGAAGACCAGGATATTTTTAGACTCTTGCCAAATTGGATGCTGTGAGATTATCAGAAATGATGTAAAATTCGCATCCACCCTATAGCTTAGAAACGAATCCCAGTCATTTGAGAGTGTGATTTTATAACGTGTAGAATAACTCTGAAATTCTTTCCTAGGCTAGAATGGGGAAAAACAAAATTGGAAGTGGAGGGAGGAAATTCCAGGATTATGGATTCATTATTTCGAGCCTCCAGATTAAGGTCTTGAATTTAGTTAATTACTTGAATGAAAAATCAAACTCTCTGTGGAAATTAAGTTATATCTGAACAGTTCTAATTATTAAGTTCTGACAGCCAAGATACCTACCTTGCCAGGCTTTTGAGATTACTTCCAAACTAATGTCACTTCACAATCGGTGCCCTTCTCATCTTCTCGAAGGGGTGAACAGCAGCCCTGTGTGGTGGAACTGGATGGGATGATCATTGAATTAGCACAGAAGAGGGTCTAGTTGGCCAGGAAAAAGGCTTCTGGAACTCAGGACACTTGTGGAATGGTTACTTTTTGTACAGTAGATGTTAACTCCTTTTCCCCTTCTTATCTGTAAAATATCAACCAAAGTAAAACATTAAATTGAGGACTAAAAGAAGTTAAGTCCTGAGCAACAAAAATGCTCTTACCACACTGTTGAAAAGCCAATAGCTCTATTCTCTATTTTACATCTCCATTCTTTTTTTTTTTTTTTTTACTGGTAATACCTGCACAGTGTTCAATTTTGTCTTTTGTAAAAATTGTACTAGGCATACTGTGTGGTAGTACGGGCTTGAAGTGTTTGCTCTGAGTTCATCAGGTGCTTTTGTAACTTTGTGGTTGGTGAGTAACATTTTGTGACATCTTTTTATTTTCATCTAGAAACAAGAGTAAAATATTATTTATTGTAAAATATGTGGGAACCATATATGTATATATACTTAGAATTTTCTGTGTACAGAGAAAGTATGTGTACACATTTCTATGTAAATAAAAAGAATTTGCTAGATCTGTCACATGACTTCAGGGTTATTTTTTAGACTCTGTTCTCCTTGATTCTTTTCCTCACAAGAGTTTGTTCTGTGTGTGTATGTGTTTAGTGTGTTTAATAACAATTGAGCATTAAGGTTTTCCTTACATACATATTAAATAGGGCAGCCTGGCTGTGGAGATTATAGAGTAAAAGGATAATTCACATAAAGCATTTGGTACATAGCCTGGGATCCAGTAAAAACCCTGTAAATGTGAGCTGCCATTATTGTTGTTATTATCATTATTACAACATGAAATGAGATTTAAAACTGTCTGCTGTTCAGAAGTTGAGAGATATGAACATTACTTCTATGCAAAGGAAAAAACCCTGTAAATTGATTTGTGCAACTCTTAGATTTTAGTAGGGTTTGTGGAATTTTTTAAAAAGTTTTCCATAAGCATGCATTTAAATTGGGGTAGAACATATGCCACATATAATTCTAAGTCATAATTTCATTTTAAAGCCTACATAATTGTCAGTAATGTTACTTGGCACAATATAAATCAGACCCCAGTTTAACAAGCAAATATGCACATTTCTAGAGAACCATTTTTGCCTTTTAGTACTGCAGTTGAGGAAAAGGACATTCATGTAAGCTAATTTTGCACCCAATCACAAATTGTTCAAACATTAAAAGAAAAGAACTTTTTAAAATTTAAAATTACATAGGCGGACTCATAATCAAATAAAAAAAAGTGATGAACCCAATATTAACTTATACAATAGTAGCATTTCAAATGGAGTGCAACCTAGATTATCTTCTCCATTCCCCTCATTTGACAGACAAGTAAACCCAAGACTTCATGAGGGCAAAGATGTGCCCAGCAGTAAGTGATAAACCCAACGGAAATGCATTTCTCCTGACTCCTAGTTCCAGGTCTTGTGTTATATAAGAAAGGTAAATTGAAGCAGGTATTTTGAGACAACAAAAATAATTGCCAAAGGCCAAAACTGTTTAGGAAAATGTGGAAATGCTCTCCCTCCAAAATACTCAGCATAGTAATTTATCTATGAATTCCACAAACCCTACTCTTTTAAAAATTAAAACTATAGAAAAATAAAGTCAGGATAGAGCCATTACATCCAAAGAGTCCTGGAATCATTAAAGATATGACTGGATCAGAATTTATTGCATTAAAACACTACATTTGGCAAAGTTTTCAAGTGATTTTAGCCACTGAGAATATATTTTCACAGAAACTGGTAACTTGTGTGGGATACCTTGATTGCCTCAAGGTCTGATTTTTATCTTATAAAGAATCTTAAATTAACTAGCCTATAAAATAAAGGATGAAGTCATGCATTTTTACTTGCAGTAAAACTATAGTTAACCCAAAGTTAATTAATCAGAACTTTCATTGAGTGGCAATTTAATATTGCCAATTGCAAAAGACAAATCACAGGAAAACAAACTCCTATTAGAGATTTTTTTTTCCTTGAGAAAAATCTCATAAAAAGTATTCAAAATCATTTAATATTCACCTCAGTCTCCTACCCTGTATTTTGAGATCTGGAGCTCTGGAAACATAGCTCACTCTGTTTGATTTTTAATCTTTCCTTTTCTTCATCCAACTCAGCTGTCACATAAATGCAAATAGTCTCCTATTGGTTTGACAATGGTTTGATCTAATGATTTCTCCACTTTACTGTGATGTGGGGAAGTGATACACACTCAGTAGAAATTGTACTTCGAAGACCCATACAACCATTCTGTGCTTTTCACTTTCAGTACAGTAGTCAATAAATTACATGAGATATTCAACAGTTTATTATAAAGTAGGCTTTGTGTTAGATGATCTTGCCCAACTGTAGGCTAATGTAAGTGTTCTCATCATGTTTGAGGTAAGCTAGGCTAAGCTATGATGATCAGTGGGTTGGATATATTAAACACATTTCGACTTACTCTGTTTTCAATTTATGATGGGTTTATCAGGACCTAGCCCCATCGTAGGTTAAGGAGCATCTGCAGTACTCTCTCTATTCTCTAAAAGAATGAGTTAATGTCTTTGTGTCCTCCACAATACCTGGTAGAGTGTCCCGTGTGTAATAGTAAGTTAGTAAGGGTTCTCCAGAAAAACAGAGCCAATATGATATATTAGTATATAAATATATAAGGAGATTTATGATGGAAATTGGCTCACACTATTATGGAGGCCAAGAAACCTCATGATATGCTGTCTGCAAGCATATCAACTGGGAGAGATGATGGTGTAATTTAGTCCAAGGCCAAAGGCCTGAGAAATAGGAGCTCCAATGTCCAAGGGTAGGAGAACAAGGATAGCACAGCTAAGAAAGAGAAAGTGAGGGAGCGCATTTGCCATTTCTTAGCCTTTGTGTTCTATCCAGGCCCTCAATGGATAGGATGATGCCCTGTTGGTGAGAGTGGATCTTCCTAGTCTATTTATTCAAATGCTAATCTCTTCAAGAAACACCCTCATAGACATACCCAGAAATAATGTGTCACCAGCTATGTATCCCTTATCCAGTAAAGTTGACACATAAAATTAGATGCCAAAGTTAGATACTTGGTCAATATTTGTTACTTCATTTTTTTAAATCTCCAGTGCAATCCAGTGATTATTCAAGACTCACTCTACCCACATAATGTAAGAGTTAATCTTGCACCATTTCCAACATGAACTCCTTGCTTCAGCTGAATATAATACCTGCTGAATGTTAGCTTCCAGAACCACCGAGATTTAAAAGATAGAAACGATGTTAGGAATCACCTAGAATAAGTTCTGTTTATCAGCTTAAGAAATGGAGGTCTGATGAGGTTTAACAGCCTAGTTATACTTGTTGTTCTTCCTGTCTGGGTAAAGCTATTCTTTCTGGGCTTTAATCCTCCAAATCACTGATGCTCCATATCTGTGATTGACACTCTCAGCTGCCCACCAAAATGCATTTTACTTCTCCCATTGCAATGGAAGAGTAAAGTATGTGACTGGCCAACTGGATGGCATGCCCCTGCCTCTCACACAGTGAGGTGTGGCCTTCTTGCTGAGCTGCAGTTAATGGAGTGTGAAAAGAAGGGATGCGTACACTTTGAGGAGCAGACCCACAGACAAGTGCACGCATGCTTCTCTGTGCTCTTTTTCCTAACACTGGCTGGGATAGATGCCCTGAAGGACACATTGGAAGAGACAAAGAAATTGTCAGTTTGAGTGCTTTTCTGATCATGGAAGAGAGTCATTCAACTAACCCAAAGCCCACCCCTGACTGCTATACGAGAGATACATACACTGTTCTTTAAGTCATTGAATTATTAGGAGGGATTTGTTACTGCAGCTCAGCATGACCTAACTAAAACAAACATTGCATAAAATCTCCTCTATCTATGTACTCTAGCCCCTCTGATATTTGTCTGTTTGAATTGTTT